GGGGGGGGGGGGGGTTGGGCAGGTTCGGTTTTGAGAAAATCGGGGTTCGATTTAAGAGAGGGGTGTGTCCAGCTATTTTGACCTCTCTTAAACCGGCAATTCATTTAAAGTGTGCTCTCATAAACCGTAGCCCCCACTGTATCCTCATTAACATATTAATCGCTCGAAGGCGACCTCGGCGCCGTGAGGTGGAACAGCCGTAGAATTCAAAATGCTGGCAATCGACGAGTCTTGCGTAGCGGAAAAGAAGGAATCGCTATCACTGTTTGCCACCGTCGTCCAGCGGACTCAGGATTGATTGTACACAAGCGACAATACAGGTTGCGGGGATGGAAATCAGTCTGGGTCCAGAAGCAAGGTGCTGAACTATACACCTTCAAACCCGGCCACGTGTTGACGCAGAAAGATTTCGAACGACCTGTACGTACACCTTGGTTGTCCCTGGTGGAAACAAGTGCTACCGCTGACACGTCCTGCTGTCGGGTGGTTGTCGGAACATCAGCGCTTCATCATCCCACTCTCAGATCACTGTACCATGCGGTCGATTGCGAGACTACCGTCGCGACTGTTGGTTCCCACCTGTGTGTGGGTGCTCGTACCCATCACACACGACGCTGCCTACTCAAGGAGGTGACGGATGGTTGGCGGCGAAGGTAAGCCATATGCCCAGCGAATCAACCAACCGGAATGCTTTAGGACACAAAGATATCAGAAGGCCCTTTCTCGACGTGCGAGGTTCTTACTAGGGGTGACGCCGAATGGATGAAGCGAGAGAGACTGTCGGACATTGTATTTTTGAACATGCAGATATCACTACCGAAAAGCCTCAAACGGCCTTCTCTCTCCAGCTCCCTGCTCCCGCCACAGCATGCTATTGTTTTCGGTGCTTCATGGCGAATCACCTTCTCCACCATGTAGTCTGTCTAGAATTGAGCAATTGTTCCGCGTCTTCGCGCGAAATCTCGGAAATTGAGCGATATTTGCAATTTCGGACGCCTGAACGAACCCTGCAAGTAGTACCACTTGTCAGACGCCGGTCCAAACAACACCCAAAAGATGTGCTCGAGACTTCGCAAGATTAATTCCAGAGGGAATGGAGTTCAAAGGACCTCCAATGCTTAAATGGTAATCGCCGACACTTAACGAGAGGGTTATCTTTATCCCATCTTCATCCCACAACACACGCACCCCGAGACAAAACAAAATTGTTGGGCACAAGGACGAGGGTTACGGGCGTAACCCTCGCAGGCAACGATGCTCGATTGCCCCAAGCCTCATGCTGCTGGAAAAGCAAGGCGGGCCCAGTTGATAGGTGTGAAAAGTGTTGCGATGGTAAAGTTGTTGACTAGAGGTGTTGACCTTGTCGAAAAGGGGAAGAAGAGTGAGCATTAGGTGGCGAACACCCGCTCCACACACCAGTGGCAAGGAACTCAGAACCCGGGACATTACTTTATCAGGAAAAATAAATACAGTAGGGGACCCTCAGTAATGCCGGTTGAATAGTGCCAATGCCCGATATAGTGCCGGTGAAATTTCTCGGCACTGGCAGAGCCGGCAAAAGTGCCGATACCGGCAATACTGGGAGCTGCTGTCAATAGTGACGGTTTGGCACTACTGGACAACCTCATTTGTGCCTGTTCGGGCCTCACACGCACACACACACACACAACATGCTCTGTACCCCTACCGCACACATCACACACACCATCGACACCCGGAGAGATACAAGCCCACATGAAGCTCATCTACAGGAGGTTGCTGCTCGAGGTAAAGTTGTCGACCATGCTCGTGGCCGACACTCTGCGCGCCCAAGCTAAAGCGCTCAAGATGAAGGCCGGGACGGCAGGGCTGGCGGAGAGACAACAACCGCACCTTGCAGACGCCGCAGGACTCCTCAAGAAAGCATGGGCCAGAGTCACCCCCGCGGACATCGCCAGGTAGCGTTGGGATGTGTGTTGTAGTGCTCGACGAAATTCTGTAACTTTTAGCGGGATTCAGCCATGGTAGATGCGGTGTGGAGTAGAAGACGTATTTTAGATGGCGTTGATCACATATTTTTCACCCCCTCCCCGCTTTTTTTCGCCCGCGAAAGATGCTTGTTTGCGCTCTTAAATTTACGTCCGACAATTATTGATCCACTGCACTTCCTTTTTTGCCCGTCACCGCCCAGGTGATTCCCCCCCGGTGATTGCCATCGGGGTTGGGTTTTCGTCGCTTGGCAACGACGTTATAAAACAAGCCCCCCCCC